CAACAAGAAGGAGGATAGGGCCAGCAGGAGGTGTAGTGGTTAAGGTGCTGGACTTCCACATGGCCAACTGTGGTTTGAGTCCTGAACCCAGTGGCTTGAAACTCACGGTGTTATGTGTATGTGTGTGTGTGTGTTTGTGTGCCCAAAATCTCGGGATGAGTATGGAGGAGAAGTGATTGCAGTATGGCCATACCCCTGGGGTAGATGGGTGATTGCTCACTTTCTGTCTTTGTCCCCCTCTGTCTCTCTGGCAAGGGCACACACCCTATGGCAAAAATCTCTCTCTCTCAAAAAAAAAAAAAAAAGATAATAATCATATAGCTGTTGTGAAAATTAATTAAGATAATATAGGTAAAAAAGAACAACGATGAGTGCGTTCACTATATGATGATTAGCTATGGTTAATATCACCACAGTTACAAAGTTCTATCCCTGGAGCAGTAGATAATGAGTGTTTTGTTTAAATGTTATGCTGCCCTATAAAAAAATCTACTACATGAAATTATTTCTGTTTTATTAGGATCCCAATAATTACTGCATGTCTTGAAAACACAGCACAGTTGTTCTCACTGAATTAAGGGTAATTTGTCATAACAAGTGAGTGCACTGGCCCTGAAGTCAGACTGCCTGGCCCTGTGTCCTGGTTACATCTACCAGTTACTGGCTGGATGACCTTGGGCAAGTTACTTCATGGTAGTTCAGTTGTTATCTAACCTCTCATTCATTTAGATGTAATATATATTAATTATAAATGTAAACCCCTAAAAAAAAGTAGGCACTGTCTTCACCTAGGCAAAGATTAGAGATTGGGTATCATAATTTGTGTATGCTCCCCCACCCTGAATTCATGCGTTAAATCATTGGAATGGGATTAAATGGATGAAAAACTTAATCCAGTTTTGCTGTTGAAAGGTGGGCCTTTGAGGGGAAAGATTAGTGATTGGGTGGTTAAAGCAGGGTCCCCTAATTGAATCCTGGTGTGTTTAGAAGAAAAGGACATGAGGCAGGAAGAGGCCACCTGAACACATAGACCATTCTCTGTTCTGTTTTTCTCAAAGTTCTGCCTTCTGCCATTTTGTTTTTCCTTTGGACCTTCCATGTGACCAGAATAAAGAATAATAAACCTCCATTGCTTTATAAATTACCCAGTCTCAGTAGTTCTGTTAGCAACACAACAGACTAGCACATGGGGAAAGGCAGAACTTCAAGCAACCTTTTCACAATTATTTTGCCCTTGCAATTCTCCTTTTTCCTTGAGACAAAGGCAAACAAAATCATACCTAAAATAAGCAACAACAACAAAAATCTAAATTCTTGACAAATAAACTTGTGGGATAACTTTTTTTCCCTTGAAAAATTAAGCCTTTCTTTCAAAAATTTACCACTAAGTAGCTCTGGATCATCTCTGCCTATCCATTCAGTCAATAGATCTGATCTGTGTACTATATTATGCCAGAAACTCTGCCAGAGTGATATGGAAAAAGAGAAAAGATACTTATTCCAATAGAATTTATATTCTAGTAGCAAAAGTTAACAACTTATTTTTTGCTTTAAATCCTACAGATTAGATATGCAATTTATTTCTCATTACAGCTAAATTCTATTCCATCAATGCCACTTGGTGGGACAGTTCAATTTATATCGTGAATCTTAATACATTGCAAGAATTTTTTCTAGTTCATTATGGCTCATGGGACTTGAGCAATGCTGAAGAATTACATGGACTATCAAAAATTTAAGCAAAATATGCCTTTACTATTTGCTATTCATGCTATACCTTAAAAAAAGGGAGATTTTTAATTATCTCATTAATTTGTTCAACCAGATAATTAAACCAGGCAATTCAGTCCTTAAGTGACACTATAATTAATTCAAATAAGAAACCATCCAATTTTCATTTCTATGTGTGCTATAGCCTTGATCTCAGTAGCTATATTGAAGCTGCCTTCTGTTCAACCTCTTCTCTCTCCAAGCCTTTCATCAGAACTACTGACAAGGAACAGGATGGGCTGACATAAGTTTCTCATCCTCTCCTCGCAGGCTTCATAAATATTTGTTGACTTAATGGCCTACTTTTTCTTGCCACTTTTGCTAAAGTAGAAATGAAATGGCCAAGAGGAAAGTTGCAAGAGGAAAAGTTTCTCTTTTTATTATTCCTAAAAACTTGAAGGCTGATTAAGACTACAGTTCACTACTTGAATAGAAAAAGAACTTGAGAGTGACTATGTAATTTTAAAGGTGCCTTCAGAGAAAATTATATACAAATAATTATAAAACTGGCATATTTAAGGAGTCCAAGAATATGAAAATAATCTGTTGTACACTATATAGAATAATATATCTTTGTTGACTTGTTTAGATGGGTAACTTCTGTTCTATACCTAAGGTCCCAAGGAAAGAAGAATAAATGAATTTCTTAGATTATCAGAAACTACAATACAAAATATCGGGTTTTCAGGAAAGTTACGATGCATTTTTCTATGCATCGTGACTTTCCCGACAATCCAAAAGAAGGCCATGGTGTATCTTAGGTTTAGCTTCTGGCTAAACCAGCTTTGTTTTTTTTCCCCTAAAACTAAAAAGTTAAGGCAATTCGGAATTAACCAGGGTGTTCAATAACCTTAATCATGTTTGGACAATTTCTTGCTTCTTTATCCAAAAGAAGAAAATAAAGGACAGAAGAGGAAAAAAACTAGGAGTAAGATCAATGCATACCTATCTAACTATTTAAATCTTCCCAGTATATAAACATTGTTCAAGGAATAAAGGAAACCATTTTATGATTTTAAAAATATCAGTTTCATGTGTAAGGTCATCCCTTTTATTTGTCTGTTGGTTAAATGTAGCTAAATTATCTTTTGAAATCATTAGTATATAACCAAAATAGTTTCTAGAACTGCAACAATAATTGGTTTTTCTACAATTACCAAAACATGACAATAAAAGTGGCAGTATTTCATTGGAAGTACTTTTTTGAGTAAGTGACATTGTGATAAAATGTATGGATTCTTGGCCCAGTCTGGTAACACAGTCAATAGCAAACTGAACTTCAGAGCTGGAAGCCACATGGCCAGCGTGGGTTTGGATCACTGGGTCATCCTGAAAATACACCAGACATAAGCAGGCATCCAAGACTCTAACAAAGTGGAGAGCTGGGGAAAGGAGATCACAGTATGATGGGATCCTGCCAAGGGTTAGCTCTGTGTGTGTGTGTCTCTCTCTCCTGTGCATTAACTCATTCTCTCTAAAATGAATAAAACATACAGTTTTTTTTTTTAGAGAGAGATTTTCATTATAGGGTACATGCACTCGCCACAGAGACAGAAAGTGAGGAATCTCCCCAGCGGAGATGGCCACCCTGCAATCTCCTCTTCTCCATTCTCCTTTTGGGATTTTGGGCATGTATACAGTTGCGCCCGGTGTAAGTTTTAAGCCACAGGATCTGGGAGTTGAACCATGGTCAATTATGAGGGGGTCCAGTGACGCAACCATTTTGCCATTTGCAGGTCCCCAACATATAGATTCTTAAGTCAGATTGCTTAGGTTTGCATTTTATATCCACCATTATGAGCTGTGTGGCCTTGTGTGAGTTACTGAACTTCTCTAGGACTTGAGTCCACATTAGCAAAGTGGAGGTAACAGCACTTGCCTTACAGGGCTGGAGAGAAGATCGAATAAGATCTTTCTATGAAGCACTCAATAGGATGCCAGATACATAGAAACCATTCGATAAATATGAAATAGTATTATCATAATTAGATCAGTGATGCTACTATTTCATGAACTCAGTCTGTTACATTTTCTACAAATAGAGCAGTCACTTTTGCAGTTTTAGAAATGTTTACAAAAAAATCATAAGACAATAGGCAAAATATTTGTGACATGATAACTGGAAAAATCTGCGACACTCACCTGCCAGCACAAAGATATGGTTTCCCGGCTCTCCTTGCTTAATAATGTAACTCCCTTGCAGGTAGCTTCTCCCATACATGCATTCCACCATGTCTTTGATCTGCTGAGGGTCCAGTCTCTTCAGAAACTGATTTTTATTAAGGGCATCTGTAATGAGCTTCTTTTCACTGGTATATTGGAAAAGAGATATTTGTTACAATAAATGAAAATCATGTTTTGCTACCCAGATTCACTTCGTTCTGATTTCTGATACTACTATCTACTATTTATACTTTCTGGCAAGAAAAAAGGGTTTTTGTTTTTGTTTTTGTTTGTTTGTTTTACCTAGTATCACCAAATATTTCACCCTTATAACTGCATGTAATCCTACATGTACAACTGGTTTTTTTAGGTCTTTTTTTTTTTTTAGAGGTTTTTGCTATAGGGCCCATGCGCTCACCAGACAGATCTTTCTATGAAGCACTCAATAGGATGCCAGATACATAGAAACCATTCGATAAATATGAAATAGTATTATCATAATTAGATCAGTGATGCTACTATTTCATGAACTCAGTCTGTTACATTTTCTACAAATAGAGCAGTCACTTTTGCAGTTTTAGAAATGTTTACAAAAAAATCATAAGACAATAGGCAAAATATTTGTGACATGATAACTGGAAAAATCTGCGACACTCACCTGCCAGCACAAAGATATGGTTTCCCGGCTCTCCTTGCTTAATAATGTAACTCCCTTGCAGGTAGCTTCTCCCATACATGCATTCCACCATGTCTTTGATCTGCTGAGGGTCCAGTCTCTTCAGAAACTGATTTTTATTAAGGGCATCTGTAATGAGCTTCTTTTCACTGGTATATTGGAAAAGAGATATTTGTTACAATAAATGAAAATCATGTTTTGCTACCCAGATTCACTTCGTTCTGATTTCTGATACTACTATCTACTATTTATACTTTCTGGCAAGAAAAAAGGGTTTTTGTTTTTGTTTTTGTTTGTTTGTTTTACCTAGTATCACCAAATATTTCACCCTTATAACTGCATGTAATCCTACATGTACAACTGGTTTTTTTAGGTCTTTTTTTTTTTTTTAGAGGTTTTTGCTATAGGGCACATGCGCTCACCAGACAGACAGAGAAATATAGAGAGACAGAAAGCGAGAAATCAACCCCTAGGGAAGATGGCCACGCCACAATCCCCTCTCCTCCATTCTCCTCTCAGGATCTTGGGCACATGCACCCAGTGTGAGTTTTAAGCCACCAGGTCCAGAACGTAAACCGTGGTTGACTACGTGGGAGTCCTGCAACATAGCCATTATGCTAACTGTTGGTCCCCTACATGTACAACTGTTGAAAATATTTTTAAACATTTTCCTGGTAGTCATAATTATACCAATTTTATGGTCATTCCTAATCTCAACATTTCTTGAGATTCCTAGATAGACTAATAAACACACATTTTTTTAAATGAAAACCAAATCTGATCGATAGGAAGAAGTTATATTTAAGGGACTAAAGCCCAGCATTCATTTATTGATGCATGCATGCACAGTATCTCTGGTACTAGTTATGTATACCTTACTTAATTTCATCAGTATACTATAAGATAATTACTGGTCCTATTTTATGAAGAAGTAGACTAAGATGTAAGAAGTGACTGATTTCTCATAGAAAGTCTGTATGTCCAACATCTGGGCTGTTTCCATCCCATCCCATCACCTCTTCCGAGAAAGAAAGCTCCTTTGGGGCTTGGTAGGTTTGATCAGATACAGAGGGTGATGGTGGTACTCTGAGATTACCTGGGTTTTTATTTTAACAATAGGCACGTGTAGACTAAACAGAATCTACATTTTCAATCTCGCAGTCTATTCATCCCCCATATCCAAGATCCACTTGTTGATAATCCTAGAATACTATGCTTTACTTTGAAAAAGAAGTAGTTCAAAACAGTTACCCAATCTTCACTGCCATGTATTTCAGATGTTTTCATTAGCATACTTTCTATACATATATCATGAAGTTACTGAGCTGGAAAAAAACCTCTTTGGGGCTGTATCAGAATCTTTGCACAATACATTTACTCTCGTTCATACAGAGTGGATTTTTTTTTTTTTAAATCACAGTCTACCCGTATTTTTCATTCAAACGTTACCCCAAGACTGGTTCCACTGTGTGAAAACTAGTAATCTTTTTCTATTTAAAAATATTCTTAAACAAACCAGCAGATGGCGTAGTGGTTATGTCACTAGACTCCCATGTAGTCAACTGTGGTTCAAGTCCTGGACCTGGTGGCTTAAAACACTGTGTGTGTGTGTGTGTGTGTGTGTGTGTGTGTGTTCAACATCCCAAGAGGTGAATGGAGGAGAAGAGACTGCGGCATGGCCATCCCCCCTGGGGGGTGATTTCTCACTTTTTGACTCTGTCTCTCTCTGTCTCTCTGGCAAGTGCACACACCCTATAGCAAAAATCTCTCTCTAAAGAAAGAAAAAAAAAGTTCTCAAACATAAAGTAAGACTTCACAGAATTAGATCATTCTACCCAACTCCCTCGTTCTGATTTCTGATACTACTATCTACTATTTATACTTTCTGGCAAGAAAAAAGGGTTTTTGTTTTTGTTTTTGTTTGTTTGTTTTACCTAGTATCACCAAATATTTCACCCTTATAACTGCATGTAATCCTACATGTACAACTGGTTTTTTTAGGTCTTTTTTTTTTTTTAGAGGTTTTTGCTATAGGGCACATGCGCTCACCAGACAGACAGAGAAATATAGAGAGACAGAAAGCGAGAAATCAACCCCTAGGGAAGATGGCCACGCCACAATCCCCTCTCCTCCATTCTCCTCTCAGGATCTTGGGCACATGCACCCAGTGTGAGTTTTAAGCCACCAGGTCCAGAACGTAAACCGTGGTTGACTACGTGGGAGTCCTGCAACATAGCCATTATGCTAACTGTTGGTCCCCTACATGTACAACTGTTGAAAATATTTTTAAACATTTTCCTGGTAGTCATAATTATACCAATTTTATGGTCATTCCTAATCTCAACATTTCTTGAGATTCCTAGATAGACTAATAAACACACATTTTTTTAAATGAAAACCAAATCTGATCGATAGGAAGAAGTTATATTTAAGGGACTAAAGCCCAGCATTCATTTATTGATGCATGCATGCACAGTATCTCTGGTACTAGTTATGTATACCTTACTTAATTTCATCAGTATACTATAAGATAATTACTGGTCCTATTTTATGAAGAAGTAGACTAAGATGTAAGAAGTGACTGATTTCTCATAGAAAGTCTGTATGTCCAACATCTGGGCTGTTTCCATCCCATCCCATCACCTCTTCCGAGAAAGAAAGCTCCTTTGGGGCTTGGTAGGTTTGATCAGATACAGAGGGTGATGGTGGTACTCTGAGATTACCTGGGTTTTTATTTTAACAATAGGCACGTGTAGACTAAACAGAATCTACATTTTCAATCTCGCAGTCTATTCATCCCCCATATCCAAGATACACTTGTTGATAATCCTAGAATACTATGCTTTACTTTGAAAAAGAAGTAGTTCAAAACAGTTACCCAATCTTCACTGCCATGTATTTCAGATGTTTTCATTAGCATACTTTCTATACATATATCATGAAGTTACTGAGCTGGAAAAAAACCTCTTTTGGGCTGTATCAGAATCTTTGCACAATACATTTACTCTCGTTCATACAGAGTGGATTTTTTTTTTTTAAATCACAGTCTACCCGTATTTTTCATTCAAACGTTACCCCAAGACTGGTTCCACTGTGTGAAAACTAGTAATCTTTTTCTATTTAAAAATATTCTTAAACAAACCAGCAGATGGCGTAGTGGTTATGTCACTAGACTCCCATGTAGTCAACTGTGGTTCAAGTCCTGGACCTGGTGGCTTAAAACACTGTGTGTGTGTGTGTGTGTGTGTGTGTGTGTGTGTTCAACCAAGAGGTGAATGGAGGAGAAGAGAGTGCGGCATGGCCATTCCCCCTGGGGGGGTGATTTCTCACTTTTTGACTCTCTCTCTCTCTGTCTCTCTGGCAAGTGCACACACCTTATAGCAAAAATCTCTCTCTAAAGAAAGAAAAAAAAAGTTCTCAAACATAAAGTAAGACTTCACAGAATTAGATCATTCTACCCAACTCCCTCCATTAGATCATTAGGTTACGAAGAGGGAAGCAGAATGAAATCTGGTACACAGAATTCCTTCTTTCCTACAGTGACTCCACCACTGTCAGAGGCATCCAAATTCTCGAGTTACTTGGTAACTTTTTCGCCCTTCATCTAACCCATCACTCAATCTTATCAACTCTCTTTACAAAATATCTCAAGAGGAGAATGGAGGAGAAGGGATTGCAGTGTGGCCATCCCGCAGGGGGGTGATGTTTTCACTTTCTGTCTCTCCACCGCGCCCATATACTCTATAGCAAAAATCTCTCTCAAAATAAATAAATAAATAAAAATGGTAGAGAAAAAGAAACTGAAAAAGTAGGACAAATCAGTAACAAATAATGATACCAGATTTAAACCAAATAATTTGTATTTACATTAAAAATAGAGATACTAAAGTCTGGCTCTGTAGCACACTGGTTAAGTACTATGCACAGGAGTCAAAGCTCGCAGGACTGACAACAGTTCAAATCTTTACACTGGTTGTTTGAAAAACGTATCAGGTGCATTCATATGCATGCCTACGCCTAGACGGGATAGAGAAATGGAGGAGAAAGGACTGTGGTGTGATTATACCACAGAGAGGGTCTCAGTCTCTCTCTCTTTCTCTCTCTCTTTCTCTGGCAAGCACACATCTATCAATTTTAAAAAGTATGATAAATGTTGGGACCAGCAGTTACCATAATGGCTATGTCACTGGACTCCCATGTAGCTGACCGTGGTTCAAGTCCCAGACCCAGTGGCTTAAACTCATGCCAGGCGCGTGTGCGTGCATGCCCAAGATCCCGAGAGGAGAATGGAGGAGAAGGGATTGTGGCATAGCCATCCTCCCAGGGGGTGATTTCTCACTTTCTATCTCTCTCTCTGTCTGGCGAGTGCACGTGCCCTATAGCAAAAACCTCTAAAAAAAAAAAAAAAAGTATGATACATGTAATAAGTACCTCAGGAAACAAGATTGTCAGACTAGTAAAAGTAAAAAAGAAAATTCCAAAATTGTATTGCTTATAAGAGAAATGCCTTAGACCTGCCTTAAAAGACAATAGAAAGTTTTAAAGTAAATAAATAAATAAATAGAAAGCTATATTATGTGAACACCAACTAAAGGGAAAACTTGCCTGGATACATAAAAATGGTTTTATAAAAATAAAGAGGGCTATTTCATATTGATATCACCATAAATGTATAAATATTCTAAAGGCATATATACTTAATATCATCAAACTATATAAAGCAAAGTCAATAAGATTAAAGGAAGAAATAGGTAAATCGCTCACAATGACTTTCAGTGATTTTAATACCTAAGTAACTAATAGAACAAACAGGCATATATTAGGTAGAAAACAAGAAATCTAAAAAATTCATTATCAAACTTTTCTCTTGTCCTAACTGACATTTTAAAAACCTGTATTCAATAAATTCAGAATACACATTTTTTATAAGTGTACATGAAATCTCCATGAAAATTGACTATATAGTAAACTATAAAGTAAGCTCCAAAAAGCTCATTATAATGAAATAATACAGAATATGTCCCTTGAATATAGTGGAATTAAACTAGAAAGCAATGACAAAAAGTAAGGATAACATGCTTTAAAATATTTGAGAATTGAGCAATACATTTATAAACAGCCCAATCATCGAAGATTAAATCTCAAGGAA